TAATCATAAATTTCTAACTGGCTCTTGAGAGAGAATGGGAATTTGTGAGATTCTGCAGGCGTGGAAAGAAGAAAAGCACATTAAGATTAGGCAGATAAAGAGAAACGTATAGTAAAGGGTTACTTTGATTTGAAAATTATTTTTAGACTGATAATATGGAATTTGCTGTACATTTTGCAGACAGACAATATAACTCATCAAAGCCAGCAGTTTCAAACATGTTACATTAGAATCACTGGAGGTTAAAACCTGCAGTTTCTAAATTCTCACTCCCTGAGTGCCTGACCCCTCTGGTCTTGAATGGAACGGGATGAGATGCAGACACTGTATATTTGCCAAGTTCTCCAGCAGCCACAGCAGAGAGCCATAGCTCTAGTGCAATCTTCACGCTTTTAGCACGAGGAAACCATGAACTGAAAATGAAAATAATAATGGCATTGCCTGAAACAACACAGTTTATAAGCCTCCACCTTAAATCTAGGACCCGAGTATTCTCATTCCTCATCTGAGTCTCTACAGTATTTTTACACCGCTCGCATGCTGGTTAATGGTAGTTAGCTACATCTGAGTGGAGACCATTTCCCTGCTCAGTAGCCCACTCTCATTCTAGGGAGTGCTTTTCCTGTCTTAATAAACTGTCTCCATTTTCCCTCTGTTAAAAAATAGTAGTTAGAAAATCTGAGGTTGTTCCCTCCTCCTAAGAAACTGTGTGCTCCCTTTCTTGAATGAAATAAGTATTGAGACAGTTATGACAGCCCTGTGACGGTTAACACATCTGTTTATTCTATATTTTAAGAACATTTATTTGAAACTTTAAATCAATGATATCATTCACATATTTTTCAACATAACATTTTCTTCAGATGAAGTACCCAGTTCTTCTTTCTACCTTGTCTTCAACACGTAAGAGTCTTTCTTCTATGTCTTCTAGAAGAGGTGATGCTTACCTCTGAATTTTTTTGTTTGACATCCTAAATTTTTCATATTCAGCTTTATTTTACTCAGAACTTTTTTAGTGATCCTATTTCTTTGTTAAATTCTGTTTTAATGTCTTGACCTGTTTTTCTTATTTCATTCAACTGTGTTTTTATAGCCTTCATTAGGGGATTTACTCATAAGAACCTCTAACATTCTTGAACATCTTCATAATTGCTATTTTGAAGACCTTTTCTTGTATTTCAGCTATATTGAATTTCTCGGGACTTGTTGCAATGGATATACATATTTCTGACAGAGCCTTTGCTGTTCATGTTTGTGTTTTTGCGCTGGGGTCTACGCATTTGGAGTTATGATGTTTGAGGTGTTTTATGGTATTAATATCTAGTCTTTTACTTGTTGGGTGAATGGTCCATTCTTTGGTTACTGTTGCCTGCTCTGGATCCTAGACAAATGCAGTGACACTGGGGTCCCTGGTATAGAGGTCTTCTTCAGCTCAGTGAGTGACAGAAGGGAATAGAGATGGGCTAAGATGAAAGGCTGAGAGAGGCCTCTGAAAAAGCTAAGGGTATAGAGCTTCCAGTGAATGAAAGTGGGGTGGGAGAAGGGCCTCCTGCAGGCAGGCTACTATAGGAGTAAGTCTGGAGAGAAAAGAATAGAGGACAGGGAGGATTCTGAAAATCTTCTACTTGAATCCCAGCCTAATGGGACTACTGGGGATCCTTGTAAAAGGCATTTCAGAGGTTCTATAACTGAGGAAGGAATAGAGATTGGCTAGAAGAGATGAGAGGGGAGGAGCTAAGTTGTGTCTTCATCGAAAGTCAGAGACCCCAGGGAATGGAGGTAGGATGAGAAGAAGGGATCCTGCAAGCAGGTGGTTACAGGAATAAGAATGACTCTAAAAATCATTCACATATTAAGGAAAAGAAATATGATGTAATACTTCAATCTGAACTTAGTTTAACCATTTATCACTGAGTTTATGCAGTTGTGCACATGGAATCACTCAGATTCAGAGCAAATATTCTTTACCAAATTCCTTGCATGATAATATCTTTAGGTTATCTCTCCAATTAGATTCTGAAAGTCTATACAAGTAGAGTTTTTCCCTCAAGGACATTAACTGTCTCACTTCTTGACAGAAAATCAACACTCAACAGTTAACTGCTGAATGAAAACGTTTTCATTAGCTTCCAGTAAGCAATGGGACATTGGTCACTGAACCAACTTGTAAAGGACAATGTAACCTGAATCAGAGTATTGAGGGATGGTTCTATAAAGTAGCAGTTTTGCCAAGCGGTCTTGGCACATACCTTTAATGCCAGTAATCGGGGGAGGCAGAGGCAGGTGAATCTCAGTGAGTTTGAGACCAGCCTGGTCTCCAGAGCGAACTCCAGGACAGCCAGGACTGTTACACAGAGAAATCTTGTCTCAAAAAACCCGATAGATAGATAGATAGATAGATAGATAGATAGATAGATAGATAGATAGATAGATAGATGGATGGATGGATGGATGGATGGATGGATGGATGGATGAAGTAGCAGTTTCACAATCATTTTATACAAGAGTTTTGGTCTGATTCATTGTGCTTATAAAGGGGCTGATTAACGGTTACAATTAATGTCTTTTTTGATTGTACTATAATCATTGGTTAATAAGAATAATGAAGAATTCATGCCTAGTACTGTAACCACAGGCAGATACCCATGGCTGGTAAATTCATGAATGCTACAGGAGTGCCCACTACCATCACTTCCCTAAAGCAGCATAATTCCCAACCACACTCTAAATACTCATCCTTATACTCACAGATAAGTGGAGCTTTCACTCCTCGACAAAGAAGCTTCATTTTGCAGCAAGTAGAGAACATTGCACAACAGGTCAAATGCAGAGAGCAAATGTCTGTGGGGTGCCTATCTCCAACTGCTCCATCTACCACACAACTCCCATTCCTAAGACTCAGGGAACATCACACAAGAGGGGGTAAAATGATTAAATGAGTCAGAGGACCAGGACATCAGCTGTGTCATATTATCTTCTATATATGACAGGGAGCTGTACCCATAAAAATCTTAAGACTGTCACCACCTGAATAAAACTACACAATGACAACCCTGGTCAACATGCCAACATGAATAGGGAAAATCTCCCAAGGCCCCCACCCCGAGATGAAGAGTTACAGGCAATCAATGGCTGCTAAGAAAGGGAGAATCAGACGTCTCCATGGATGCCTCCTGGTAATTTATCCAATCCCAAATGGTCATCCTTAAACATATACATATGAGAAGCACTAGATGGAATCAGAAGGCATCATTTACATAAGCACACGTGTAACAATTGTAAATAAAGAAGGAGAGACCATGAATTTGAGAGGGGTTTGTGAGAGAAGTTAGAGTTGGAAAATATAAGATGAAAATACGGGGTTCATGTGTCAAATTCTGAAACAATCATACAATAAACATAAATATCAATCAAACAAACAGTGAATAACTAATGTATCAAATGAATGAGCCTCTCATTTCCCAGTCTGATTTTCCTGGAGATCAAATATATATGGAAAACAGTGGCATGGTGTGTTTAACTCACACCTCCTATCTCTCTAGCTCAAATTCTAAGTCATTGCCAGGCTGCAATGCAGTATTCAGTCACATTTACAGATGTCCACACCAGAGGCTCTATATCACAATGGGTAGTGTTTGATAAACCAAGGCTGTATGGACTTTATTAAACTCTAGTATTCATTTTCAAGCAGAATGTATTTCTCACAGAGGGAAGTAGCATGTGGGTACTAATCTGGTAAGTAAGTCACGTGGAAGTCAATCTGCTCTCCTTCCTGGGTTCTGCAACAGCCCATCTGAATGTAGGAACTATAATTTACCCTAACCATTCTGCAATGCTTGCACGGCTCTTTAATCCATGCACTGCTGTCTCTCTTCTCATTATGTACTCAATGAAGTAGACTAAAATACCTACTCTTGCCTTTCTTTACCTATCCAGGTCCTCTTGTGACTTTAAAACCTCATTTGAATGTACTAGGTACAATCTGTCTGCCTCACTTCATTTCGGATACAGATGAGCTTGCATTCATATTATGTTCAAAGTTCTCTATTTGGCATACTTTTTTATATGTGACTAAAAGTACTACAGACATAGACTTAACAATGATGAGCTAATATTAATATCAAGTTTTTTTTGTATTTTGGGAAACATACCACTATCATTATCAGGTAAACTAAAAAGTGCAGTGGAAGATTACATACCATTATAAGAAGCAGTGAGCTAGCTAAAACAGAAGATAATTTGACCAGTGGCTGTTCAGAGATATGCTGCTATCAAGCAAGTCATTTAAATCTCAGCTTTTAAACTCTTCCTCTTGACATTTGATCTCTACATTTGACTCAGTTATATACACAGATTCCATTGGTCTCTAAGGTGATTTGCCTTTCACACAAAGTAATGAAAGGTATTTTCTGTCTTGCATCTAATTTATAGAGAAATAATCAATATAAAGCATCACTGTCATCGAATAAAATGGTAAATTTGAATATGGGAAAGAGTTTACTGGCCAAAGACTCTACAGCTAAAATGAACCAGAGGGCCAGAGGGCAAACAGTTTATAAGAGATTGATCTTAAATTGAATGTTAATGAAAGAACAGAGCCATGAATGGGTCATGATAAAAGTCCCTAACAAGTAAAAGTAAAAGTGTTTTTGGAAAAAGAAATGAATGAATGTCACTTTTCATATATTTATAATACTGGAGTTTTGGAAACTGGTTTTAAAACAGTCTAATCAAATCTATAGATTAGTAAACAAGATTTGGGAAAGTCAATACTGAATATAGCAAAGGTGTTTCTTTTTGTATTTAATTTCTCTGCCTTAAAAGTTGATGAATTATATTTGCACTATGAATAATTGAATTGAACCCAAAAGAGTACTCCCTATTCCAAGAACCTCCTACACCAACAGTTAACTATGATTTATCTTTTAATTCTAAAGAATTTTAAGAACCTTCCATCAAATTTAACTGACAGTCTGTGCTTCCTGTCTCTATTCTCCCAGGAAGAAGAAGTGACTCGTGAAAGTCGTTTTAACTTCAGTGGTTATGGAATGGGTCACTGCCTCCAAGTGAAGGATGGCGCAACTGTCAAGGCGGCTACACCTGCCAATCAGCCTCCACAGCCCCCAAAAGATGCAGATGCCATCAAGAAGAAGTTTGTGGATCGGGCAAAACGAATTGACACCATATCGCGAGCTGCCTTCCCACTGGCCTTTCTCATTTTCAACATCTTTTACTGGATCACATACAAGATAATTCGGCATGAAGATATCCACAAGAAATAGATGTACCGTATTAACGCTGGGGGACCTTCTTGCCTAAGTGTTGTGCTTGTAAATACACAGTAATATTGTCTTTATATCACTTTGACAGTGATGAACATTGAGGGAGGGGGAGGGAGATCATGAGGGTGGGGTTTCTGGCACCTACATGAAAAAATAGATAAGTTCTATGGGCAATGAAGAAAACTGTACAAAATTAAGGTGTTGCAGAATTACATGAGCATAACTCCCATCCATAGTCGTTAGCATTGTTCTTTCAGATGACACATCATTCAGACATGATGTGCAAAATCAAGTTCTTGAGGGCTGATTATCTTCTGGTTTGATTTGGTTTTGATGAATTCTGGTACTGAAAAGTTAGTTTAGTGCACACACACACACACACACACACACACACACACACAGAAAAAACGCTGACCATCTGACCATAGTGACTAGTCTATTGTAAATTGGGACCAAACTTTTTCAGGAAAATGCTGCCTCGTTTTTAAAAACAAGCCTCCTGAGCTATGATCTTTACAATGTCTGTAATTAGTGTTCCACCCAAGAAATCCTTTTGTGGGGTGTAAATTCTTTCTACTTATCCAGAAAACAACAACAAAATAAACACAAATGACAAAGAACAGATTTCTACTCTACTGTCTGTGTAGGTGTGCACTTTGATAATATTTTTTCTTCCTGGATGTAAACTGAGGGTTTCACTGTGTATTGTGTAATTGGTTTGCCAGTATATCCTCTTAAAACAAATGCTCATTTTGTGTTAGATGAAGTTAGCCTACAATGTATTTTTTTTTATGTTGGCTATATTTATGTGTGATTTAAGTGCCCAAGTGTAACTTAGCTATTGCAGCTGCTCAGCCACAGTATTTATGGAGGTGATGTGTTCTGAATGGTGTAGCTCAGATTAGCTTGAACTTCCTGTTTCTGCTCTCATTGTAGCTGTAACTACGGTTCTAACGTTGACTGGCCTATAATTTCTACTTTCAATCTGAGTGAATATTGTTTTAAATATCTTTGATTAACTTAAAAGATTAAAACTGTACTGTGATTTTCACAACACGGTGCCTTTTTGGTACCAGAGCTATGTGGTTTGAATCCTGGCTACATGTTTTAAGTAAGAAAAAAAAGATGTATTTTTGCTTACTCAACAGACAACCTGTGAAAATATATGGAAAGAATTACATTTTACATGTGCTGTAAAAGGGATTATTTAAAAAAGCATTTGTTCAATTTCAATAAAGATAAGTGTGCCATTAAGTTTCCCAGTGTCTTTGAATTTTTGTACTAAAATGTAAATCATTTATGTGGCAATAATAACTTAGATGTTCATATGTGATCTTCCTCATGAACTTGAATCACTTAAATACCTATTGTATTATTTTTCTTTTCATTATATTTTTATTCTTGAGGATTTCATACATGTACACAGTAAAATATGATAACATACACCCTTCAGTTCCTTCCTCACTCTTATTAGCAATCCACCCCCAAGGCTCAAAGAAAATTATGGAGGAAGAAGCATAAAGAATATAATAATTATATGATATGGGATGGTTGGGATAAAGGAAGGATGGATATGGGAGCAGGGAAACATATATCTTAATTAAGGGAGCCATCTTAGGGTTGGCAAGAGACTTGAACCTAGAGGGGCTCCCAGGTGCCCAGTGCGATGTCCCCAGTTAGTTCCTTGGGCAGCTGAGGATAGGGAACCTGAAATGACCCTATCCTATAGCCATACTGATGAATGTCTTGCATATCACCATAGAACCTTCATCTGGCGATGGATGGAGATAGAGACAGAGACCCACATTGGAGCACCAGAATGAGCTTCCAAGGTCCCAATGAGGAGCAGAAGGAGGGAGAACATGAGCAAGGAAGTCAGGACCATGAGGGTGTACCAACCCACTGAGACAGTGGGGCCGATCTATTGGGAGCTCACCAAGGCCAGCTGGACTGGGTCTGAAAAAGCATGGGATAAAACAGGACTCTCTGAACATGGCAGACAATGAGGGCTGATGAGAAGCCAAGGACAATGGCACTGGGTTTTGATCCTACTTCATGTTCTGTCTTTGTGGGAGCCTAGCCAGTTTGGATGCTCAACTTCCTAGACCTAGATGGAGCGGGGAGGACCTTGGACTTTCCACAGGGCAGGGAACCCTGACTGCTCTTCGGACTGGAGAGGGAGG